GCCCTCGGACCCCCCGCGCGCCCCGGCCCTACGGTCGTAGGTGACGATCTCCTCGGCGCCGTGCAGCCCCGCGGCGCGGTTCGCCAGCAGCACCAGGTCGCGCCGCCCGCACCGCGCGCACCCCGCGAAGTTGAGCAGGAAGGAGCCGCCCTCCAGGCACGTGGTGCCCTGGGGGCGACAGCGCGCACCTCGCACCGGCCGCACGGCGGCGGGTACCCGGCGCCCCCGGGCCCGGGCCCGCGCCCGCCCCTACCCGCGGCGGGTACTCGGTGCCCACGCAGCCCCCGCACATCCCGCCGCCAACGCCGCTCCTCTCGCGACAGCTCCGCCACAGCGGGAGGGGGCGGGGCCTCCGGGGCGGGGCCTCGGGGTGGAGATTGGCTGTTTACTACGCGCGTACGGCGGGGCGGGGCCGAACGTCACGACGAGGCGGAGCCGCATCGAGAGGCGGGGCCGACTCACAGAGCGGGTGTGGCCGAAGCTCCTAGTAGGCGGGACCAAGTACTGGAGGGGCGGGGCTTACGCGCAAGGGGCGGGGCTTGGCCGCGGGCAGACTTGAGGGGGTGCCGGGTCGTCCCCGCTGTTCCCCCGGGGGCCGCGTCCCGGTGTTCTTTGTGCTGCTATGGACCTCTGGGAGCGCCGGGGGCGCCCCGGGCCGGCCACAGGCACCGGGACGGGCCGGCAGGGCCCCCGGGCTAGCTGGGGTGCTCGCGGGGCCAGCTGGGGGGCCCAGGGCTCCCCGGGCCGAGCTGAGGCGTGTGTGGGGCTGGCTGAGGTGTCGCTGGGGTCGGCTGCGGGCAGCCAGGGCTCGCGGGGACCTGTGGCTGGCTGGAAGGGCACGGGTGGCCACCTGGGAGCACCAGGGGCTCATGGAGGACCCCCTGGGGCTAGCTGGGACCAGCTGCAGCCAGCTGGGGGCGAGTGGGGCTGACTGGAGAGCTCCTCGGGCTGTCAGGGAGCAAACAGGAATGACCGGAGTGCTGCCGTGGCGATGTGGGGGCACCGGGGACTAGCTGGCTTGTGGCTGGGCACGGCCAGGCAGCCCCCGGGGCGAGGAGGGGCGCTGGGGCTGATTTGGGCGGCCCCCTGGGCAAGCTGGGGGCGATCGGGACCAGCCGCGAGCCCGTCGGACCAGCGGCGGACACCTGGGCCGGCTGCTGCGTTACATCTGGGGCTCGGCCGGGGCTCGGTGGAGGCAACCGGGGGCTACGGCCGAGCTCCCGCTGGTAGCCGGGGCCAGCCGGGCTAGCAGGGAGCCCCGCGGGCTGGCGACCCGCCGCCCCTCCTCCCGGCGCCGGTGTCCGCGGCGCGCGCCCCGCCGGCGGCCGGGGGGGGCCGCTGTGCTGCATTGCGGGGCGGGCGGCCCGTCCCCGCCCGCCTCCGCCCGTCCCTCCCCGGGGGGAGAGCGGGGCTATCTGGGCCGGGCAGCGCCGCTGGCCCCCGGCAGGAATGTCCCTGCGCGCCCAGATAATGTTATTTATATCGCGGCGCAGGGCGGCTCCGCGACCCGCCACTCGCTCCGGGCCCCGGCCCCCCAACGCCGCCGCCGCCGCCGCGCCGCGCAGGTGAGAGCCGCCACCGGGCACCGCGGAGGGGGGGACACGGGACCCGGCCCCGCTCTGCGGCGGCTGCAGCACCGCGCGCCGCCCCCCCGCGCCGCGCCGCCCCCTCCCCCCCGCCTGGGGTACTGAGCGAAGTTTGGCTGTGGGGCAGGCAACGGGCAGCCCTGGCAAGGGGCTCGGCGCCCTCCCCGCCCCGGCCTGGCTGGGGCTTGGGGGTGCACAGACATTTTGGGGATTTACAGACATTTCCCCCCCCCAAAAAAAAACCTGCCTCGCTGATGGTTGCACTGGGGGCCCGTGTGCCCCGAGCGTCCTCGCTGTCCCGAGCGTCCTCGCTGCCGCCTTGTCCCCGGGGACACGGTTCCCGCTTGCCGCAGGTTGATTTCCATGTCCCAGGCGCGTGAGTGACAGGGAAGGGCAAGGAGGGACAGCAAGTGGGCGCTGCTACCGGAGCCCCTTGGCCGAGAGGAGACTGAAGGAGCCTCCGCGGGGCCCCCCTGCTGGGACGGCTGCTCTGCGGGCTGTGTAGGGGAAGGTGGCCGCGTCCTTCCGAGCCACCACTCAGAGCAGAAGCGCTGCCCACGCTAGTGGAGACGCGGCGCCGGCACCCAGCGGAGCCCCAGCTGCCTGCGCGGGTGATTCCCCGATAACCTCAGTTATCAGGGCGCTGTCACCTACGCGGGGCAGCTCCCRCTCCCCGCTGGAGCAGCCTTTGTGCCGCGGTGCCTGCGGGTGCTGCCCTGGGAGCCCCCTCCTYGCTGGGGCCACAAGAGGCGGTGTGGGGGGTGCCAGACCACGTATCACTTCCCGGTGGGAATTCCTGCCCCGAGAGCTCATGCGCTGCAATAAGCGTGGTGCGCATACCACTCCGGCCCCGCGGCTCGCCTGGGCCCTCYGTGTGCGGGGTGCTGATTCACTGGCTCCCCTGGGGTGCCTGCGCACCCAGTCACCTCAGTGTCCTTCCACGGAAGTTCCTCCATCCCCAGTACTATCCTGGAGCTGTCCCAGGGCCGGGATGAGGGTGGGAAGGAGCAGGTGAGGCYGGCTGGGTGCTCATTTCTGCATGGTGTTGGCTGCTGGGGGAAGTTTTGGGAATGCCAACTGAGTCTGGGGGTTGCTGGAGCTCTTGGCTTGTTTGAACAAGTGAAGAGTCTTTTGAGGGGAGCAGAGAGCTCAAGGATCCTGATGGGAAGCTCCTACACTGCCTCCCCGAGGGATGTTTTGAAGTGGATCCCACGTTTCCTTAAGGCCCCAGCTAATGAATTTTTAGGATAACAGCGCGCGCCAGAGCAGAGGGAAGCTCCTGCGGAGGGAGCCGAGATTAGCCCGTGCTTTACGCGAGGGAGGCCTATTTTTAGCCAAAAATGCATGCGGAGTGTCACAGCACGCGTCGTGTGTCACAGCTATGCATACCCGCAGATTAGGTGACACAGGACGGACCCGCAGCCTCCACAGGGGACTCTGCTCAGTGCCYGGTCCTGCATGTGCCTGGGAAGCCAGGGATGGGCCGGACACGCACCCAGCGCTGCCCTGTGACGGGTGGTAGCAGCYTGGGGACACCTGGGCCCCGCTCAGTGCCACCAATGCAGGGCCCCGTGGCCAGGGAAGGGCTCCGTGTGGAGCGGGGCCATCTGTTCGTCCGCCCTGGTGCCCGCGGGTGGCCTGGGCTTCAGCCCTTGCTTGTGTCCCTTCCTTGCCCGCGGCTGGCGGGTCAGGACGTGCCACGGGCACCGTGCTCCACGCGGGGCCTTTCCCGGCCGCTTCCCGCGCGTCCCCCTTCTCCTTGAGCGCGGGGAGGGCCGCGCGGTGCCCAGGCCTGGCTCAATGCCCCGGGGGCTTCCCGCCTGCCGAGCAGGTGGAGCGGGAGGCGTCGCGGTGCCGGCAGCCGCGCTCCGTCAGGCGCCGCTCCCCAAGCAGCCGCTCTCGGCACGCTCGCTGTCAGCTCGATTTGGGCTCCGGCGCTGACTCCATTGAGCACAGGCGCAGCCGCCGGGGCCGCGCGCGGGAGCAGCCCCGCTATTGGTGCCACGCCGCCTCCATGGAGCCGAGCGGGCGAGCCCCRGCTGCCGCGGGGGATGTGGCCGGGATCATGGAGCGCTGGAGCTTGGCAGGGACCTCTGGAGATCGTCCAGTCCAACCCCCTGCTCCAGCAGCGACACCCACAGCACTGGGCAACCCTTTGCATCCAGGCGGGTTTGGGAGATCTCCAGAGCAGGAGCCTCCTTGGGCAGCCTGGGCCAGGGCTCTGGCACCCCCAAAGTGAAGGTCTTCCTCACATGGATGCAGAGACAGGGCACAGTTTGGGCACCCATCCGCCCTGCCGGGTGAAATGTGTAGTGAGGTTGTCCTGGGAAGGGGGAATTCAGGATTTTCCTTGTTTATTTTGTATTATTGTAGTTATTTTTTCAGTTGTCCCTGCTCCATTGCTCTTTGCAGCCATTGCCCTGCAGAGTGTTGGGTGGAGGGGGGCAGTGCTGCCTGCGCCCCGGAGATTAGGGAGCCTTGGGGGCCTAGCCCAGCGCTGCTGGCCCCCGATAAAGCCTGTCCTGCACCCACGTGCGTTTTGGACACCCTGGAGAGCCCGTCTGGCCTCAGGGGCCACCCTGCGGACATCCAACGACACCGCGTCCTGGTTTCAGGGTGCCCCTGGCTTCCTCCGAGTCCCCGCTCCCTGCACCATGCGGTGGCATCTGAGGGAGGGTCGGACATGGCAGCTGTGGGAGCAGCGCAGCCACCCTGGGATCTGCAGCTCCCAGAGGGGCCCCAGCGCCAACAGCTGCATGCCGGCATTTTTAGATCCGGGCCCATCCTATCTATATCCCAAATGCCGTCGTGGGCGGCTCCGGCAGCTGTCGCCYGGGTGCTTTGGGCCACACGGGATGCGGGGCCGGCGCCGCGGGAGGCTGCGTGCGGGCTCAGGTGCCCACAGGCACTCTGGTCGCACGCCCCGCTCAATCCCCACTGAGCCGATTAACCCGCAGGTCTTAGCAGCAAATCCTGTGCGGCGGCGGCGAGTACTGCTGCCCGGCTCTCGACGCCGGTGCTGCCCGCACGGCCCCGCCGCGGTCCCCGGGAAGATTCAGCTCCCGCGCGCCCTTCCTGCAGGGGCCTGTTCCCACTAGCCGACGGACACCCGGCCGAGGGACACCGGGAACATGACCTCGGAGAATGACTACGACCACCTGGAGCTCCAGCAGCAGTACAGCCGCGTCAACGTGCGCTGGGACGCCTCCGACGATGAGCTGGACAACGACAACAGCTCGGCCCGCCTCTTCGAGCGTTCCCGCATCAAGGCGCTGGCAGGTCCAGTGTTCTGTGCAACCCCTGGCCCTCCTGAAATGCTCCTGGGGCTCAGCCCAACGTTGGTGCCTCAGCAGCGCCATCCRCCAGATCCTGCGTCTGGTTTTGCCTTGACCCTCCTGCATCCCGCTCGTCCCTCTGTCTTCTTGGGTTCCCTCCCCTCCCTGAGCCTCTCCTGGCCCCCAGTCCCTTCTGGCACCATCCTGTGGTGCTAAGGCCCAGGCCCAGCGCTGGATACCACCCTGCCTCTTCTCGTTGCAGACGAGCGGGAGGCTGTGCAGAAGAAAACCTTCACCAAGTGGGTGAACTCCCACTTGGCTCGCGTGACGTGCCGCATTTCTGACCTCTACATGGACCTCCGCGATGGACGGGTGCTCATTAAACTGCTGGAGGTGCTTTCGGGAGAGCTCCTGGTACGGTTCCCTTCTGGCTGGAGACACTCGGGACAGAGCTGGGCCTCCCAGGAGGCCATTGAAAGTGTGGGTATGGGGGTAGGGACGGTCTGGGGACATGCTGGCACCAAAGGGGTGGCCCCTGCTCCTTCAAGGTGTCACCAGCAGCCAGCGGGCAGGGATGGTGACACGTCGCTATCGAGGTGAGGGTGCTGTGGGGCCAGGGTGGGCGCTGACGCTACTGCCCCCCCAGCCCAAGCCCACCAAGGGCCGCATGCGGATCCACTGCCTGGAGAACGTGGACAAGGCGCTGCAGTTCCTCAAGGAGCAGCGCGTGCACCTGGAGAACATGGGCTCCCACGACATCGTGGACGGCAACCACCGCCTYGTCCTCGGCCTCATCTGGACCATCATCCTGCGCTTCCAGGTGGGACCGTGCCAGGGGGCCAGGCCTCCCTGGGGTGCGCTGTGTCCCCTCAGGGTGCCCCTTCACCCCTGAGGTTGGCAGCATGCCGATTCCTGGCCAAAACTGCCATGGGGACCATGGTGCTTCCCTGAGGGGCTCCATCCCCCGTGGAGCTCCCCCAGCCCCAGGCATGTCTGTGTGCCCCCSTAGATCCAGGACATCATCGTGCAGACGCAGGAGGGCCGGGAGACACGCTCTGCCAGGGACGCGCTGCTGCTCTGGTGCCAGATGAAGACGGCGGGGTACGTGGCAGGACCCTGGGTGCATCTGGGCCAGTTGTGGAGTCTGGGGTGTCCAGGGGAGAAGGGGCCCTGGAAGGGGCCGCGCTGCAGCGCGGGGTGATATGTCTCTCTCCCGCAGGTACCCCCACGTGAACGTCACCAACTTTACCTCAAGCTGGAAGGACGGGCTGGCGTTCAACGCCCTCATCCACAGGCACAGGTTAGCGGAGCTGGGTGGCCAGCCTCATTCCTGACATCGCTGCTGGCAGATGCCAATGCCAATGCAGCCTGGAGAAGTGGTGGCAAGGGGTGCTGGCTGCTACGGCAGAAAGTCCAGCAGGGTCACCGTCCCCTTGTTGCATGTGTCACCATTGTCCCACACCTTCCATCCCCAGGCCCGAGCTGGTTGACTTCCACAACCTGACCAAATCCAACGCCCGGCACAACCTGGAGCACGCGTTCAGCGTGGCGGAGAGGCACCTGGGCATCACCCCGCTCCTGGACCCCGAAGGTAAGGCTGCGGGGTGGGCCATGGCTGGCGCAGGACAACGTGCAGGCTGAGATGGGGTGGCTGCATGAGACTGAACCCCATCCCTCGCTCTGGGCAGACGTGTTCACCGAGAACCCTGATGAGAAGTCCATCATCACCTACGTGGTGGCCTTCTACCACTACTTTTCCAAGATGAAGGTGCTGGAGGTAGAGGGAAGACGTCTGGGCAAGGTAGGAGGTGGCGTCAGGGTCATTGATGGGAGCATGCTGGGGCACAAAGCCCGGGTGCCCAGGCATGGAGTGAGGGTGCTCAGTGCCAGTCCTTGGTGCAGGTGATTGAACACGCCAAGGAGACAGAGCGGATGATTGAGGGCTACAGCGGGCTGGCCTCCGAGCTGCTCACCTGGATCGAGCAGACCATCGCCTCCCTCAACAGCCGCAGCTTTGCTAACTCCCTGGGCGGTGTGCAGCAGCAGCTCCAAGCCTTCAGCACCTACCGCACCGTGGAGAAACCCCCCAAGTAAGAGCCCTGAACCTCTTCTGCCCTGGGTGGAGGCTGGTGTGGAGCCCTTTGGTGGGTGGCACGGCACCCTGCGCACCCTGGGGCTGAGCCCTCTCTGGGACAGGTTTCAGGAGAAGGGCAACCTGGAGGTGCTGCTCTTCACCATCCAGTCGCGGATGCGGGCCAACAACCAGCGCGTGTACACCCCGCACGAGGGCCGGCTCGTCTCTGACATCAACAGGGTAGGTGGCCCRTCTTGTGGAGCCCTCCTGCACACATTCGGGTTGGCTAGCAGGGCAAAATGTCACCAGGAAGGCTTGTGGGGTCATTCTGGGGATGAGGGTCAGCCACAGGTTCACTCTGTTTCTCCAGGCCTGGGAGCAGCTGGAGAAAGCGGAGCACGAGCGGGAGCTGGCGCTGCGCAATGAGCTTATCCGGCAGGAGAAGCTGGAGCAGCTGGCGCGGCGCTTCGACCGCAAGGCGGCCATGCGGGAGGCCTGGCTGAGCGAGAACCAGCGCCTGGTGGCACAGGTAAGAGGGAGGCGGTGGGGGGCACACGCCCAGCTCAGGCACCCAGGGCAGGCCTCACCAGAGACTTCTCTGTGGGCAGGATAATTTTGGCCAAGACCTGCCGGCGGTGGAGGCGGCCAAGAAGAAGCACGAGGCCATCGAGACAGACACAGCCGCCTACAAGGAGCGTGTTCAAGCCATCGAAGCAGTGGCGAAGGAGCTGGAGGCAGAGAACTACCACGACATCAGGCGCATCAACGGGCGCAAGGACAACATCCTGCGSCTCTGGGAATACCTCTTGGAGCTGCTGCGCGCCCGGCGCCAGCGCCTCGAGATGAACCTCACCCTGCAGCACCTCTTCCAGGAGATGTTGCACAGCATTGACTGGATGGACGAGATCAAGGTGAGATGTGGTGGGGCGCCACCAGCCAGCAGTAGTAGCTGCATCGCCACAGTCTGACGGCATGGAGGCATGGAGGCAGCTGCAGAAGCGGCACTAGGGCACATGGCTGGCAGCAGTGCCCATGCTCAGTGCTGGCAGTAGCCTGGCACTCGTCCAAAGGGTCTCCATGGCTCAGTGGTGGGATGTCCCCGCTGCCCTAGCAGAGCTGAGGCAGCTCGTGCTCTCATGCAGGTGCAGTTGGTGTCACCTGAATTTGGGAAGCACCTGCTGGAAGTAGAAGACCTCCTGCAGAAACACCGGCTGCTGGAGGGCGACATGGCCGTGCAGGCCGAGAAGGTTCGGGCGGTGAGCAGTGCCGCCCTGCGCTTCGCTGATGCCGAGGGTAGGTCAAGATGTTGTTCTGAGGCGACCGCATGGTGTGGGAGATGGGGCGCCATGCTCACGCGTGCCCACGCTCTGTCCTGCCAGGGTACCGGCCCTGCGAGCCCAAAGTCATCCAGGACCGCGTGAGCCACCTGGAGATGTGTCGGCGGGAGCTGCAGGCACTGGCAGCGCAGAGGAAGGCTCGCCTGGAGCAGTCCAAGTGTCTCTGGAAGTGCTTTTGGGAGCTGGACGAGGCGGAGGGCTGGATTAAAGAGAAGGAGCAGATCTACTCCTCCATGGACTATGGCAAGGACCTCACGGGCGTCCTCCTGCTGCAGCGCAAGCACGCGGCCTTCGAGGCTGAGCTGCGGGCCCGCGGCGGCCAGCTGGAGCAGGCGCTGGTGGCCGGCGAGCGCCTGGTGGCCGCAGGGCACGCCGAGGCGGTCCGGCTGCGCAGCCGCATGGCCGAGGTGCGGGCGCTCTGGGCCCAGCTGCAGGAGCTTGCCGCCTTCCGCCAGAGGAGCCTGCGCGACGCCGAGAGCTTCTTCCAGTTCCAGGTGGATGCTGATGAGCTCAAGGCTTGGCTGGAGGATGCCCGTCGGCTGGCGGGCAGCGAGGAGCTGGGCAACGATGAGTCCTCCACACGAGCACTGGTGAAGAAGCACCAGGAGCTGCTGGAGGAGCTGGCCCGCGCCGAGGAGCTTCTCGGCAGCCTGGGGCAGCAAGCCGAGGAGTTCCCCGCTGCTCTGCGCGCTGACCCTGGCACCCAGAGCCGGCTGGCGGCCCTGCGACCTCTCTGCAGTGAGGTGGCGAGCCTGGCAGAGGTGCGGTGGCGGAAGCTGCAGGACAGCCTGGACCTTTACACAATCTTCAGTGAGAGCGATGCTTGCCAGCTCTGGATGGGCTCCAAGGAGACATGGCTGGAGCAGATGGAGATCCCCAGCACACTGGAAGACCTCGATGTGGTTCAGCACAGGTATGGGCTCCGTGAAGGAGGATGGGTACCTGCTGCTTCTGGGAACAAGACCTGTGTCCTGTGGTGGGGCTCGTTCTCACCCTTTGTGCTTGACAGGCTTGACAACCTGGAGCAGGAGATGAGCGGCTTGGCCTCCCAAATTGGCAGTATCAACCGAGCAGCCGATGGCCTGATTGAGGGTGGGCACCCACGCAGCCCCCAGGTCCGGCAACGCCAGGAGCAGCTCAACACCAGGTATGTGCATCATGAGGACAAAGGGGATTGAACCGTTTTGGCAGCTCCTACAGCATTTGGGCACTTTCATAGCTATGCTGGGGGCTTGGGGACTGTTGGCAAATGGGCTTGAATGCTTGAGACTTTGTTCCCTCCCTCCCATACCCCTGGCTCACCATGGTGCAGGGTATGAGTGTCCCCATGTGGTCACAACCTGGCCCTGCAGCTGCCCAGCATCTGGGCAGAGTGGCCCTGACTCTCCTTGCTGTGCAGGTGGGGCAGGTTTCGGGAGCTGGTGGCCCAGCGGCGGAAAGCCGTGGACTCGGCCCTGAGCCTGCTGAACTACTGTGTGGACTGTGAGGAGACCTGCAAGTGGATCCTGAGCAAGACCCGTGTGGTGGAATCCACACGGGACATGGGCCGGGACCTGGCTGGCGTGCTGGCCATCCAGCGCAAGCTGTACGGCATCGAGCGGGAGCTGGCAGCTGTCAAGGACCGCCTGGGCAGCCTGCGGCCCCAGGCCCAGCGCCTGGCTGAGGATCACCCAGACCTGGCAGCGGATGTGCAGGAGCGCCTGGGGGCCACGACGGCCGCTTGGCAGGAGCTGCAGGGTGCCCTGCAGAGCCAGGCGGCCTCACTGGGTGAAGCTGGCAAGCTGCAGCGCTTCCTGCAGGACCTGGATGACTTCCAGGCCTGGCTCTTCGGGGCGCAGAAAGCCGTTGCCTCGGATGAGGTGCCGGCATCACTGGCTGAAGCCGAGCAGCTGCTCCGGCAGCATGTGGCCACCCAGGAGGACATTGAGCAACACGAGGCTGCCTACCGCAATGTGAAGGAAATGGGCGAGCGGGTGACGCAGGGCCAGGCAGACCCCGAGTATGAGCAGCTCCGGCAGCGCCTGGAGGGCATGGACACAGGCTGGGGTGCCCTGCGCAAGATGTGGGACACGCRGCACCGCTTCCTCACCCAGTGCCTTGGCTTCCAGGAGTTTCTCCGCGATGCCAATCAGGCTGAAGTCCTCCTCAGCAACCAGGTAGGGGCAGGGGCCTTGGTGCTCACAGGAGGTCTGCGCTGGCCCAAGTGACTCTTACTGGTACAACCCCTGTCTATCAGCTCTCCTGGGTGGAGACGTTCCAAGTGCAGCTCTTAAGATGCTCCCACATGCAGAAGGGTTGGGGTGGCTGTGAAGATATCACCATGCCAGACATGGCCAACTCTGGATCCTAAATGGCCTTTAGGGGATCCTAAATCCTGGTGCAGACCTGGCTCCGGGCAGGCAATGAAGCCGCTCTCCTCGGTCCATACCGGGGAGGCCACGTGGGGGATGCCGCACATGTCCCCAGTGGGCTCTGCAGGACGCGAGGGTTGGTGACACCGCCAGGGAGGTGGCTGTGATCACAGAGTGCTGCAGCGCTGCTCTGTTCCGTGTTGCAGGAGTACACGCTGGCTCACCTCGAGCTGCCCGGCACGCTGGAGGGCTCCGCCGCTGCCCTGCGGAGGTTCGAGGACTTCCGTGCCGGCATGGAAAGCAGTGAGGAGAAGATCCCCAGCACGGTGGTGAGCGGTGCCAAGCTGGTGGCTGATGGCAACATCTTCTCCGAGAAGATCACAGAGAAGTGCCAGAGCCTACAGGACAGGTGAGTCCAGCCCCAGTATGGAGGGCAAGGGATCGGCAAGGTCTGTCCCAGGGCAGACGAGTGGACTTTGCCCTTTTCTGTCCTACTCAGGCACAGGGCAAATGTGGCCAAGGTGCAGGAGGCGGCAGGTTTACTGCAAGACAACCATGAGCTGCAGACCTTCCTTCAGAACTGGCAGGAGGTATGGGAGCAGAGGGCACAGTGGGGTATGGTGTAGCTCTAGGGCCTGAAGGACCATGTCACGTTTGCAGCTCCAGGGCTGCACTGCCCTGTCCAGCCCTGGGCCTTGGTCGAGGAGCTCTACAGCACTAGGAGGATGCCCAAGCCATGACACCCATTCTGTTCTGCTCCCAGCTCACCCTCTGGATCAACGAGAAGATGCTGACAGCGCAGGATAAGTCCTATGGCACAGCCCGGAGCCTCCACAGCAAGTGGCTGAAGCACCAGGCGTTCATGGCGGAGCTGGCTGCCAACCAGAGCTGGCTGGAGAAGGTGGACAAAGTAGGTCCTAGGGGTGGTGGCAGCTGGCTTTGTCAGAGCTCCCAGCCCTGCTGCCTTCACCAAGGCAGGGAACCAGGATGCTCTGAGCTGAGGTAGTAGCATTCCTCTGAGTAGTGGGTGGGGGAGCTCCCCCCTGGAGCACCAGTGTCCCTGGGTTTGGCCGGCCTAAGGCAGGGACTCTTTCGACATCATCTCCTCCATGTGCCGGCAGGAAGGGAAGGAGCTGGCAAGCCGCAAGCCGCAGTACGGGGCACTGGTGTCACAGCGCCTGGGCGAGTTGCATGCACTGTGGGACCAGCTGCGGGCTGCCACCGAGGAGAAAGCCCAGCAGCTCTTTGAGGTCAACCGCGCGGAGCTGTACGCCCAGAGCTACGGTGACCTGGACCGGTGGCTTGGTGAGATGGAGGAGGAGTTGCGTGCTGCCGAGCAGGCGAAAGACCTCACCAGCACCAATCTGCTGCTGAAGAGGCTGACGGTGAGTGGGATGGCACCGAAGGCTGAAGGGACCTAGACCGCCATCCCCTTGCTGGCCAGCTTCCATAGCCCCTTGTGGCTGGCTGAGAACTGCCTGGGGCACTAAGCGTCATGCAAGCTGGCATGGACCTGGGGTGTCAGCACCTCCCTGCGTTAGCACCCAGCAGTGCCACGCTGTGGTTGGAAGACCCAGGCTCTTTGAGGTCGCTCTGTGGGAAGGCTCTCCCAACAAAACCTGGGAAAATGCAGGCACAGCCTGAGGTCTGGTGGGATGTTCTTCAGCCACATCCCTGGGACAGGCAGGGAGCCTCATCTAGTACTGTCATAGTTGTTGGTGTCTTGAATCAAAGGCTCTTGTCAAGGGTAAATGGGGCTGTTCCTCCTGCCCCTTAAAAAAAAAAAAAAAAAAAAAAAAAAAAAAAAAAAAAAAAAAAAAAAGAGTATCACCTTGAGGTTTCCTTTAGGTGTGGGTACAAAATACCCAACTGGGTCACCTGGCTACCACAGGTCCAGTTTGGGATTGCAGGTTGGAATTGCCAGGAGCACCTCAAGCAAGACTGGGGCCAAGTTCAAGTTGGTTCTGCTGGAATTAAGTCCACTTTCCAACCAGAGTTTGACTACATCACTACTCTTCTCTTCCAGAGACTGGAAGAGCAAGTAGGAGCACGAAAGAAGGAGATGGAAGAGTTGGTGTCACAAGGGGCCCCGCTCGGAGGGACTGCGCAGGAGGCTGACAGCCAGGAGCAGAAACTGCAGCAGCGCTTCCTCGAGCTGTTGGAGCCCTTGGAGAGGAGGAGGAAGGAGCTGGAGTCGTCCAAGGCCATGTACCAGCTCAGGCGGGATCTGGAGGATGAGGCAGTAAGCTCCATCCTGCGACGGGACCCTTTCTTTGCATTGCAGCTCCACTAGCTCCCCGCACATCTCAGCTCTGCTCAGCCTCAAGCCCCACGGGGAGGCTGGCAGAGCCCCCATGCCTGGAGCCAGCCGCTGTGGGGAGCCCTGAGGGTGCCTGGGTGCTGTGGGGAGGGAGCTGCAGCAGGGCCTCTGCAAGCCCTCAGTGGGTGCTCTCGCCCAACAGCTCTGGGTGCAGGAGAGGCTGCCGCGGGCGACGTCCACGGACCACGGCACCAACCTCCAAACTGTGCAGCGCCTCATGAAGAAGAACGAGGTGAGTGCTTGCAGAGTGGGATGGGCTGCTGCAGGGGACCAGGACGGCGCTAGGTACTCAGGGTCTCCGCCCTGGCTCCTTTGCCTTTGCTGAGGACGCTGGAGCTTCCCTCCCTCCTCTGTGTCCTCCTCCACTACCCTGTCACCATGTGTTGAGCCCAACCTGCTCGGGTGAGCAGGTTCCAACCTCAGGCCCAACCAGAGCCATCCCCCCGCCTGGTCCCTGCGGGCGCCAGGGGGATGCAGAGAGCCCTGGATGCTGGGGAGGGCGCTGTGCCCTTTCGGCTTGGGGACCGTGGCGCTGCRTGTGGGTGCAGCCTGCTGCCTGCGATGTCCTCCCACAGAGCCTACAGAAGGAGCTGTCGGGCCATGCCCCGCGGGTGGCCGAGGTGCTGAGCCGTGGCGATGCCATGGTGGCCGAGGCCGGCGGGCAGTGCCCGGAGCTGGAGGGGCAGTTGCAGGAGCTGCGGGGGCTCTGGGACACCCTGCAAACAGAGACCCGCGGCCGCCTCCGGCGCCTGCATGAGGCCAACGAGGCCCAGCAGTACTACCTGGAYGCCAGCGAGGCCGAGGCCTGGATCAGTGAGCAGGAGCTCTACATGGCGACAGATGAGAACCCCAAGGTATGAGGCAGCACTGAGGCCTGTTCAATGGCCGAGGGCCTCACGGGATCCCCCATGCCATCCTCTGTGTCATGCCAGCAGCAGGGACTGAGCTTGCTATGGCTTGGGATGAAGGCAGGATGTGTATCCAAAGGGCAGGCGCGGGGGCTGGGTCCCTGTCCCCTTGAACATGCCATAGCCCACAGTCATGTCTGTGCTGCTGCAGGATGAAGAGAGTGGCTTGGTGATGCTGAAGAGACATGTCCGGCAGCAGCGATCCATTGAGGACTATGGCCAGAGCATCAAGGAGTTGGCAGGGAGGGCTCAGCAGCTGCTCTCTGCTGGCCACCCTGAGGGGTAGGTGCCACTCATGTGCCTTGGCTTGGGGGTGTCCACGTGGTGTTGTCAACACCTTGGCAGGCTTGTGGTTGGGTGAAGTTCAGGTGCTCAGGAAGCTCTGGTGTTCTTTGGTGCCACGGTACCTTGATTGGTCTGGTGACATTGCTAGCCCACAGCTCCACGGGTCACCCCAGACTCTGAGATGCCATCATGGGGGTCTAGGTAGCCAAAAACATACCTTCAGTGGGTTTTCTTTTCCCAAACCTCAGTTGATGCCTTAAATGTTTCGTGAGGGCCCGCTGGGCACTGGCTGGCAAGGAGTGGGCATGGTGGGCAGTCTGGGGCCGTGCCGGGTGAGAACTGGGGTGTCTGTGTGCCTGGGGCCATGCAGGGAGCAGATCATCCGGCTGCAGGGCCAGATGGACAAGCACTACGCGAGGCTGAAGGCGGCGGCTGAGGAGCGGCGGCGGAGGCTGGAGAACATGTGCCACCTCTTCCAGCTGAAGCGCGAGGTGGAGGACCTGGAGCAGTGGATTGCCGAGCGCGATGTGGTGGCCTCCTCCCAGGAGATGGGGCAGGATTTCGACCATGCCACAGTGAGTCTGACGAGGGCTCCCAGGATCGGCATGCAGCTGGAGGGGGAGATGCAGGGCATGGCATCATGCCCGGGGCCAGCACGTGCCCTCAGGTAACACATGGAACTTCCCTTCCTCCCTCCCTCCAGCTGCTGCGGGAGAAGTTTCGTGAGTTTGCGTGGGAGACTGGCAGCGTGGGGCAGGAGCGTGTGGACCGGGTGAACTTGACCATTGAGGACCTCATTGATGCGGGGCACATGGAGGCTGCCACCATGGCTGAGTGGAAGGACAGGCTGAATGAGAGCTGGGCTGACCTCCTGGAGCTCATTGACACGCGCAGGCAGCTCCTCACCGCCTCCTATGACCTGCACAAATACTTCTACGATGCTTCTGAGATCCTCACCCTCATCGCAGAGAAGCAGAAGGAGCTGCCCCAGGACCTGGGCTGCGATACCAGCACGGCCAAGGCTTTCCACCGCATGCACACCGCCTTCGAGCGSGACATCCAGCTGCTGGAGGCGCAGGTAGACCTGAGCCAGGCTCCATGGCTGGCGTAGTGATGGGAGTCCTGGGCAAGCAGGATATGGGGAGGATGAGACGCAGCCCCCCCACACTCTCCGTGTCTGCGGGGCAGGTGCAGCAGTTTCGGGAGGTGGCGGCTCGTCTGCAGACAGCGTATGCCGGCGAGAAGGCCGATGTTATCCAGCAGCAGGAGCAGGAGGTGGTGAAGGCGCTGCGGGCACTGCTGGAGGCATGCAGCGGGCGGCGTGCCCAGCTCCTGGACACGGCTGAGAAGTTCCGCTTCTTCAGCATGGTGCGCGACCTCCTCTCCTGGATTGAGAGCATCATCCGGCAGATCGAGACGCAGGAGAAGCCCAGGTAGCACCACTTGCGGCAGGCACACAGCCCCACAGCCCTGTGTGGTGGTGTCTGGCCCTGATATGGACATCCCTCCTTCCCAAGGGACGTCTCCTCTGTGGAGCTGCTCATGAAGTACCACCAGGGCATCAAGGCAGAGATCGACACGAGGGACAAGAGCTTTGCCACTTGCATCGACTTGGGCAAGAAGCTCCTACAGCGCGAGCACCACRAGTCACCTGAGGTAAGGATGGTTGCCACTTGGGGCAGCCCCCATGCTGAGTGCTGGGGTGCCAGGGACAAACACAGCCCCAGGAGAGACCCAGCAGGTCTGCTTGGGGTTGTGGGGATGGACAGCAGGACTTTCTGGGGCACCCCTGGGGCACACGGGCCACATCTTGGCCCAACCAGCCTTCCTGTACACCCTTGGCCAGCCTGGCTTGTGGAGGTTTTGCTGGGAGACAGGAGCAGGGGCTCAGAGCCAGCTGCCTGGGGCTCCCTGGGTCCTGCCCCCTGCCTCAGCCTGGCGAGGTGCTGGGTTGCAGCTGTCCTGTAGCACTGACGCTCTTGTCTCAGATCAGGGAAAAACTGGTGGAGCTGGTGGAGAGGAGGAGGACMATGCTGGAGACGTGGGACAGACGCTTGGACTGGCTGCGCCTGCGTGAGTGCAAGGAGGAGGCTGGATGGAGGAAGGAGGGGGGCGCCGCCAGGCTCTGGTCGGGGGGGTCGGCTCCCCAGGGCTCCTCGGTGCCACGGGGCTGAGGTGGCCCTTGTCCTCCCGCAGTGCTGGAGGTGTGCCAGTTCTCCAGGGACGCCTCAGTGGCCGAGGCCTGGCTCATCGCGCAGGAGCCCTACCTGGCCAGCAGCGACTACGGGCACACCGTGGACAGCGTGGAGAAACTGCTGAAGAGGCACGAGGCCTTTGAGAAGTCCACRGCAACCTGGGAGGAGCGTTTCGCTGCCCTGAGGAAGCTGACCACGGTGAGGAAGAGCACGGCTCCATCATCCTACCTGAGTGCCGTAAACTACCCAGCCACTCTGTGAATGGGCTGTTGCCTCAGTTCCCTCATCCCCTAGCGCTCCTTCCCACAAACATGGCCATCTGTGCTGCTGACCATGGCCTGTCTCCCATCATCTTCACCCTCTTCCCTGGCAGCTCGAGCTCCTGGGCAAGCGGAAGCTGCAAGAGGAGCCCAAACAGGGCAAAGTGACGCGGAGGTCGGCTCCCGACTACGAGTTGGATCTGGATGCTGAGCTGGATGTAGGGTAAGAAGTGCCTTTACAGTCRTCAGTACGGGGGCCAGCAAATGTGCCCACATGGCATGCTGCATATCTGGCAGGGATTAGTCCCTGGAGCAGCCAAGAGGTCCCAGCTCACCCGTGAAGGCTGAAGGTGGGCAYGATTTTCAACGTTTCAGCATTGCTTTGTGTTTTCTTCCCTGAAGTGAAACCTGAAAGATTTTTTTTTTTAGTGATTTACCCTTTCAGAGCAAGACCACCCATAGGTAAATGGATGCAAGCAGAGCAGGAGAGCCAAAGACCCAGCACAACCTTTGGTCTTGCTTCAGCACCATCTTTCAGGGACTTTTATTTTTCTAAGGCAAAAGAAAGCAACAGATATTCCCCAAACCTGGTCAGGTCCTTGTTTTCCACCGTTGGATGAGCTTCTGCTCAGCCTCATGGCCATTCTACTCTGGGGTGTTAAACATCCCTCRTGCTCCAGCGCAGGGGTGTCTGCGCTTCCCGGTGGGATAGTGGGATTTGCCTCCACGCTGGCAGAGCTGGGCTGCAGGTGGTTGCTCTGTGAGGCTCAAGGCACCAAACCTCCCTTCTGAAACAGTGCCAGCACCACTCCTGCACCCTTGCAGGGACGCTGTGTGTGGCTGTGTCCCTGAAAAGGCTGCTTCCATGCCACAGGTCTGAGGAGGAAGAGGAGAAGAAGAAGGGCTTAATAGTGCAGAATGCCTCTCCACTGGCCCCCCATGGACCAGAACCGGTCAGTTGATGTTTACCTTTCTCCTTTCCCAGCACCACAGAAGTCTCCCTGTGTTTTCCACAGGCACGTGGCAGATTTCTCCCCGTGAGCCCCTCCATGGCATGCTGATGACTCCCTGCTCCCTGTTCCATGTTTGCTCGCCCTCCCTTCCTCGCACTGGATCTGCTGGGGAAGGGCCTCTGAACTGCATGTTGAGCCCTTGAGTTGCCCCTGCAGCTGAATAAATGTTGGCATAACCCCTAAATGCCAGGCAGTTGCCGGACGCGCGGGCCAAACCTTCCCTTGTGCCCTGGTTCGTTCCCACGTGGCCGTGCCCAGGGTTAGGGGCTGCTACAGCATCAGGTTCGTCGTGCCCTGCATGTTTGGCCCTGGAGCTTGTTGGGTCGGGTGGGAACACATAGGTGCATGGCCCACGTGAGCCCCATGGGGCTACCAGCCTGAGGACGTTGCTGTYGGGGGGCCCGGCCGTCCCTGCTGCCAGTGCCAGGAAAGCCAGAAGGTCCCTCTGGCACCGAGGAGGAGACGGCAGGCAGTGCTCGCCCGGCTGCGTCGCAGGCAGGAAAAGTACTGCGTTGTGCTGTGAGCAGCCACGCAGCTTGCCGCAGCCCTGCCTGCRTGCTGCGTCCCTGCCCATGCCGGGCTCCCTGGGCTGTGGCTCGTGCCCCCTCTCCGTGGGATTCCCTCTCCGTGGGACGGCGGCAGCAGCCAGGAGCGTGTGCAGTGCCATGTGTGAGCGCCAGGGATGAGACGGTGCCCGGAGGCTGTGGCGTGTCCTGGGGAAGATGAGGGAGCTGGACCTGCCCCGCGGAGGGCAGATCTATCCCTGCTCTGCTGATGCTGAAACCCAACACAAAGCTCCAGGACCAGCGCGTGAGCTCAGAGGGAAGAGTGGGCAGAGCTGCCCATGAGCACGGGGCACTGGTGCTCCCAGCTGGCCAGGACACGCCAGCAGCTGAGTGTGTGTTCCTGGAGGCACCGGCACCAATACCATGCAGGACATCGTCGTGCCACGCACCAGCCACCCTGCATCTGCCACCACTTTCCCCACTCCTCCTGTCGGCTCTGCCTGCTTGGACTCCTCTTCTGCTTGCTCTGCCTGCTCGGGGATGGGGGCATCTCCAGGCTGCTTGGGGGCAGGACCCCCCTCCTGCCTTGGTGGGACCAGGCCCCTGCTCTCCCTGCTCGGTGACAGGATCTGCTTGCAGCTGCTCTGCTGCTCGGGCCACGGTTGCCTTCTGGCTGCCTGGGGCCAGGGTCCCTCCTCCTCTCCTGCTCTGCACCACACATTTTGCAACTCTTCCCTGTGCCCTCAGGCCTGTGGCTGTCCGCATCAGCTGTGGCCTGGCAAATGCCCAGATGGATGCCTGGGGCCATACCCTAAGCCTCAGATCACCTGGGACCTTCCTGGGACTCCCCTGCGGCAAAGGAGAGGGCTTTGCACCCACCCTCGTATGGGTATCCCATACACCYGTCTGCAAGCGCCACCGGACACTGCAGAATGCGCAAACTGTATCCACCTACAACCCAGCATCACCTTCCTGGAGTCCCAGAGGGATGTGATCATCTCCCCTCCAAACCTGGAGCCAGGCCTCCATGCACGCGTGGCTCCAACATACGCCATGACCCAGCTCCCATTCTTGGATGTTGCCTTTTTCCTTCGACGTCCATTCTCAAGGCTCTGTTCGTGTCTCCATCACAAGGGTCTGCTCATGCTCTGGATGGGAGATGATGGCTCCAGCTCTCATCAGTTTTCCTGCTTGTATCTCCTCCTTCTGTCATGGTTTCTACTCCCCAACCCCTTTGGAGGCAGCTCATTGATGCTGGTGCAACCAGTGTCTGCCCTGCTTGCCTCCTACCTCCCCATAGGTCCCTTTGCCAGGGGCATGGGGACTCAGCACCCAGCCACGTGGGTGCCCAACCCCCTGGAAAGCTCCTTGTCCCCTGCGGTGATGGTCCTGTCATTAGGCCAGGGTACCAGCCTCTTAGTAGGTGCCCCAAGGCTGGACRATACCAATGGCCCCAGTGCCACCGGCCCTAGGCCATTCTGGAAGTTAGGCCCTTGCCTCGGAGGCAGCTCCCTCCAGGTTGGTGGGTAAAGGCAGCTGGAGGGACCTGCTCTCCATGGCACTATCAGAGGGTGGTCTGGGAGCAGAGGGGACCGCCATGGCACAGACAGGATGCTGCAGGTATTGAYGGACAAGGTGACACAGGCACGTGTGTTTTCCTCCTGGCCGGAGCAGGGGGTTGGGGTCTGCAGGCCTATGACCAACCTTGGGCACCCCAAGGTGACTTCCATAGGGCTGACTGGAGGACGAGGCGATGCCATGGGGCACCTCATCCCCCCTGGGTGTGGGGCACACAGGCCAGCTGAGGGGCGGCCCCATAACAGCTGCGTGTCCCTGTGTGGCAGCCTCTGCGGAGGGAGGTGCCGGGCCAGGAGCAGGAGCAAGGCAAGCRGCACGTTGAGGAGGAGGAGGAGCGGGAGCCACGGAGCCCACCGGAGGAGCCCGCCACGCTGCCGGCCCCGCTGGAGCGCGCCAGTGTCCARCTCGAGGGCTACCTGGGCCGCAAACACGACCTCGAGGCGGCCACCAAGAGGGCTTCCAACAGGTGGGCAGGGCCACCACTCCACTCCGTGGGCCCCGTGGGGCCATGGCCGTGGTGGTGATGGCGCTGTCGCGGGCAGGTCGTGGAGCACGCTGTACTGCGTGCTGCGCGGCGGCGAGCTTGCCTTCTACAAGGACGCCAAGAGCCGCGCGCTGGGGCTGCCCTACCACGGTGAGGAGCCCTTTGGGCTGCGCAACGCCCTCTGCGAGGTGGCCGCCGGCTACAAGAAGAAGAAGCATGTCTTCAAACTGAGGTAAGCGCTGCCCCGCGCGCCCCGGCGAGGCACCGAGCGCGGCCTCGGCCACCAGGACCTCTGCTCTGCCCCAGGCTCGGCAATGGCAGCGAGTGGCTCTTCCACGGCAAGGACGAGGTGAGGGGCAGCCCATGCTGCCCAGGGTGACTCCAGGTGGCTGGGAGTGTCCGGAGGGGGTGGGTTGGCTGGTAGCACCCAGAGGGGTGGGAGGTGCCAGCAGCACCCATGAGGACAGGGGGTTGCTGGTGGTGCCCAGGGCAAGGCAAGGTGGTCAGGGGTGCCCGGGAAGGATGTGGGGTGGCCAGCGCTGCCCAGGGGGACAGGGGTGGCTGGTGGTGTCCAGGAGGAGATGAGGTGGCAAGCAGCGCCCAGGAGGCCATGGGGTAGCTGGTGATGCCCGCAGGGACATGGAGCAACTGGCTGTGCCCAGGCTGGCAGCRGGCCATGCCCGGGAGGCTGGTGGCTCCTAGCGGGGACAAGGGGTGGCCAGTGGCACCCAGGGACCAGGGGGTAGCTAGTGCCCTGGATGACATGGGGTGGTAGGAGGTGCTGATAGGGATGGGGGTGGCCATGGGGTCCGCATGGGGGACAAGGGGGAGCCAGGGGTACCCAGGCCAGGCATAGGCACTGCTGAGCCCAGGGCGGTGTCCGCAGGAGGAGATGCACACATGGCTGCAGAGCCTCAGCACAGCAATAATCGAATCCCAAAGTATCAAGACAAAAGCCCAGAGCCTGCCCCTGCCCCTCATCACCGCTGTGGAGCCTGGCCTGGCCAAGAAGGACAAAGARAAACGGTTCAGCTTCTTCCCCAAGAAAAAGTAGCCGCGTGGGGGAGCCGCCCCCGCCACCCTTCTCCCCCAGTCCCGTGCACTAACACCCACCCAGCCTCCAGGCCACAGGTGCCCAGGAGGTGGCACCGAGCTGGGGTGAGCGCAGCACAGCCTCTGAGCCCGAGGGGCTGCTTGCTTCCACATGTGTGTCTATGTGCACCTTGGTGCAGGTCAGTGCAAGCCCATTATGTGTGTATATGGATGTTGTGCGTGGAGGGAGGTGCATGTACATGCACCTGCCTGCGCGCRCAGCCCTCCGTGTGCATGCACCTCGGTGCCGATGCACGTGGGTGCATGCCCGCCCTGCACGTGAGCACACACACATGCTGCTGCGTGCGCAGGTGCGTGCACCCCTGGGTTGGATATGCCTCTGTGTGCGTGGACATGGACATGCTCCTAGGGATGGGCACATGCCTATGTGTAGGTGAATGTGCCCCAGTGTGCACATGTATATGTGGGCACATGTCCATGTATATGTACAGCTGGGCGCCCACATGTATGTGAATATATGATGGCATGCCCAACCTATGCACACCTTGGTGCACACACCTGCACATGTGCCAAGACCTACCTGTATGCACACGTACGTATAGGTATAGCCCAGTGTGTACGTGTGCATACAGGCTCCTATGGGCACACAGCTGTGTGTGCATGTCCGTGCGATGTACCTGTATGTGCCCCTCCAGGCACGCTGACCTGCCTGCAGCCGTACCCCTCCGTGCACGGCTGTGCCCACCCCTCCGCGTGCACGCTTGCGTGCATGCCCCAGCGCTGTACGTGGGCACCACCGGTGCGCATCGGCACCCGCGCCTGCCCCTGCCCCGTGCGCTGCCCTGCACGCGCACCCCGCCACGTCTACGCCAAGCACGAGTGGGCGGGCGCGTTGCCCGCATGGGCACCCACGCGCATGCACCCACCTCCCCCCTCCCGCACGCCCTGGGGCTCCCCATCCCTCTCATCCCCCTTTGGAAGCCATAAGCCCCCCGGCTGGTGTGCGCTTGGAGGGAGACGGCTGCCCCGCGCTGGCACCCTGGGCACCAACCAAAGAGCTTCGGCCTGCGCGGGCCTGGCTACGGCTCCTGCGGGGCTGGCACCACTCGGCACAGCCCCTCGCCCTCGCCACAGCCCGGCCCCGCACCCTGCAAGCGCCCCTCCGAAAAGCGCTTGGGAACCCAGACAGTAACTTTTGGTTCGTTTCTGTTTTTCTAATAAAGAGGTTAAAGCAAAGCCCTCGCCGGTGCCGAGTGCCAACCATGGCCGGCTGCCCCGACGCAGTCCCAGCCTGGGGCTTGTGGCGCTGACGCCGGCGTGGGCATGGTCGGGTGCCGCGCACCTCTGTCCAGGGCCACCGTGGAGCCGCCCAACAGCTCACGCCGGCTGCTGTCCCCCTGGTGCCCGTGCGCCTAGCTGGCCCCGTGGAGCGTCTGAAACTTCTCCCGCAGGTTCCTGACGAGGCCGGGCCGGGCAGCGTCTGGGGGCTCCCAGGGCCGCGGAGGCTCGGCCTGGCGCCGTCGGTACTCCTCGGAGGCCTGGTAGGCCTTGCAGCGCTCCACCACCGCCTTGAGGCAGATCTTCTCCCGCGTAGTGGGCGAGCGGATCTGCACGTAGCTCTCGGCATCGGGCACCGCCTCGGCACCCGCGGCCACCCGTTCCAGCACGATGACGCGCTGGCCAGGGCCCAGGGCGGACTGCGCCGTGACGCTGAGCCCTCCATCGCTGTGGTTGCGCTGGTGCTTGGCGGCACCACCGTCAGCACCTGCCTCGGCGCTCCGGCTGCGGCCATTGGCAGGCACCGCTTTGGCCGTCGCTCGCCCGCTCCGTCCCACCGCCGCCGCCACCTGCTCAGGTGCCGAGCGGCTGCGGTTGACGGGTGGCGGGCGCCGCGGGCCAGCGCTCTCGCAGGCCGCGTACTTGGAGCGCAGCTCGCGCACATCAGGCCAGGCAAAGGGCTCGGAAGCGCTGGGGCTGGGCAGGCTGCAGGTGGCCAGGCTGCCTGGCGAGGGCAGGTGGGGGCTGCCACCAGGCGGACTGCCTGGGACACCCCGCGGTGACCTGTCCCACGGCGAGGCGGCTGCCGAGAGCGACGCCAGTGGCCGCTGCTCCTGGATCACCACCTGCTCGTAGCTGGGCAGTGCCAGGCTGCGTTTCGGTGGGCCTAGGAGAGCAGCGCAGCCAGGTGAGGGCGGTGACCGAGGGGAGGGGATGTCCCGTGGCCACCAGCCCATGTACCCAACGCGCTTGGCTTTGCCGCACCCCCTCCGCATCCCACCTGTGCCCGCGGCTGGGGGCTGCGGCTGCTCCTGGGCTGCGGCCGCCCTCACCCGCATGTCCTCCTGCAGCTGGGCCAGGCCCCGCGGGCCCCCGGCGCGGCGGCTCTTGATGCGCAGGCTGTACTGGCGTGCCAGCTGGTACACCTTGGTGCCAGGCCGCTCGGCCGCCTCGCCGGCGGCGCCCAGCTGCAGCAGGCGCGGGTGTGGGGCTGGCGGCTCCACGGCACCCAGCTCCTGCGGGCAGCTCGCGGGCCAAGGGCTCTCGGTGGCAGCACCCACGTCGTCCTCCTCGAGGATGAGCAGCGGCTCATGCGGCTCCAGCCCGTTCTCCTTTAGTGGCCTCTCTGCCTCCTGCCACTCTGCGGAGGTCGGGCAGAAATCCTCCCCCGGCAGCAGCTCGACCACCTCCGGCTGAGCTAAGGGCGCGGTCGTGGGGCTGGTGGACAGCACCCAGACGGCGGTGCGGGTGCCCCCATCGCGCTCGGGTGGCGCCCGGGGCAAGCTGTTGAGGCGGAACACGGAGTTCCGTACCAGGCCCTTGGGGATGTAGGAGAGGCTCTCGCGGCGCTTGATGCTGAAGCTGGCATCCTGGTGCTCGGCGTGGTCGTAGTAGTTCTTGATCTTGTCGAGCAGCAAGCGGTCCTGCGTGGAGAGCAGTGACCCCTTCCGGGCACAGGCTGGCAGGTCAGGCGAGGTGGCAGCGCTGGCCAGAGCCCCAGGGTCTCCCTCGTTGCCACCGGGGAGCACGGTGCTGCTCTGCGCCTCCGTGGCACTGCCCTCGAGGCTGAGCACGCTGCTGCTGCGGCTGCTGCTGCGGCTGTGGCTGGGCTGACGTGGAGTCGTGGCACCCAGTGAGGCCCGGCCCTCCTCGGCCACCATGCTGCTGCGGCGGGAGAAGCTGCTGCTGAAGCGCTCYGCGATCACGCTGGCCTGGTCCAGCACGGAGGGCGGGAGGATGCTGGTGGCAGCGCGCAGGGCCCGCTCCTCCTCCTCTTCCTCCTCCTCCTCGCTGCTCAGGGTCCGCAGGTCCTCTGCTGTCTCCGACACAGCCCCATCCGAGCACGGCTCCAGATCCACCTGGCCCTGCTCGTGCCAGCCTGGGAGCGTCGCCTCCGGGCTGCCCACGGACTCCACATCCGATGAAGAGGGCTCTTCAGGGCGCTGAGCCACCACTACAGGCACCCCCAGCACCTCGCCGTGCTCCTCGTCACCGCTGGCCTGCAGAGGGGCAGCCAGTGGGTGCCGGGCCCCACAGTGCCCACGCGCCTCTCACACAGGCACTGCGGTGCAGGGCTGCACTCACCTCCTGGCCACCGCTGGCAGCATCCACACCACGGCGCTTCTCGCAGCTCCCTGGGCCGCAGCTGCTCGGCCTCTTGAAGGCTTTGAGCCCTTCGAGCACCTGAGGGTAATAGCAAAATGCGGGGTGTTAGGGGCCAGGGGGTGCACCATGGGGCGGGAGCCAAGCACCTTCAGGCAGGTGGGTGGGAGAAGCTACCTGCTCCTCCTGGGCACCCACAGGCACAGCCTCAGCAGCAGGCAGCTCCTCCTTGCTGAAAGCCTCCTCCTCCTCCTCCTCTTCTTCCTCCACGACTCCCTGAGCCGTAGCCCAGGGCCTGGGGAGCTGGGGGGGCTCCCCAGGTGGCAGGAGGGCTCCCTCGCTGCCTGCATGCTGCTCGGGTAGAGGCGAGGGTCAGGTTCAGGCTCACTGCAGCAGGGCCAGGCTGGGGGCACAGCCCCACCGCGTGCCCGGCCCGCGGATGCTGAGGACGCCGCAACAAGGCACCCCGGGCCGCCCCTGAGCTCATCCCATGCCCCAACCTTACCTGGAGACCTGCTGGCCACGCAGGGAAGAGACAAGAGCAGAGATTAGCAGAGGTTGCACCGCCCCAGAAGCGCCCCTGGCTCGTGAACCAGCTCTTAGCTGGGCTGCGGGGCTGGATTGTCCCATTGCGCAGGGTCCCTTGGGCCCTCCCTGCCCGTGACATGCCCACCAGGTGCGCGGAGCTGCCCACCTGGCTCCCCCAGCTGCTGTAGGATCTGCTTGGCCGGCTCTGCGGGGAGAAGGGGGTGTCAGCCCAGCCGCAGTGGGGACTACGGGACCACCACACCACCCCCAGCCCTGCAAAGCACCATTGCCCAGGCACCAAACCCCCCACCTAGGAAGGCCCCTTAGGCCCAGCCTTGCCCTGCCACCCTTCTTAAGGAAGCCACCGGGCCCAGCCCATCCCACCAGGGCCTCTGGGCACATGCGGATGCTGCCCCTGCCCTCCCATGGCCGCCACCTGCCCCAGGCACGTTCGCACCCGACTGCCTGCGCCCATCGTGCCCCTGCAGTCCATCTGGCAGAGTCTCCGCGCGGTCCCGGTGCTCAAAGGGCTCTGAGGGCGGGAGAGAAACCCATTAGACCGGGCAGGGAACATGCGCCTTCCCCACGGATCCAGCTGCCCAGACGGGGCTGACGATCGGGAGCCGTGCCCCATGCCGTCCACCTTCCCACCCAGGGCACCGGTGTCCCCTCAGCACGGAGACCCTCCTGGTATGGGCTTGGGGACAGCAGCCACCCTTTGGTGCCTGGCCCGTGGTGTCCGGGCCCGGGAAAGGGCTCTTGGTTGCTGTCAGTGTGGCAGCTGCTGGACTTTGACCCGGCGACACTTGCAGGGGAGGGACAAGCGGCGAGAAGGGAGAGGGACAGCAGGGAAGTCGTGCTCTGCCCTGCCAGGCTCTGTGCTGGGGACGGGTGCGGGCAGTGGCCACAGCCCCTCGGTGCCGCCCAGCCGCAGCTCTCACCCGACTGCCGGCGGCGCTGGTGCGGCGCCGCGCACGGCTCCTCCAGTGGCTGGCACGACCAGCTCTTCTTCAGCCGCTCGGGGCTGCAGCGGGGCAGGCGTGGTGGGTCTGTGGGGCACACAGGGTGACAATGAGCACGGCAGCTGCGTGGGCAGCAAGGGGCACAGCGGCACCAACAGCACTTACGGAACAAGTCCATGTCCAGGATGGCCTCCTTGGCCTAGCAAGGGGGAGGCAAGGAGAGAGGTCGGTGGACGAAGGCCAGGGTCACCCTGCCCATGGCTATGCCCGGGAGGGAGAACCCACGCAGGCCTCGTCACCGGGAGCCCAGCACATCCTCACCTTTTGGGGAATGATGGCGTGGTGGTTCTCCAGGATGAGCCGCTTGATGTGGTGGGTCCACATGCGCTTCTCTTCTGCGCTCTTGGCCTATGGGGCAGGGTGGGCCATGGGGCAGCGCAGCAGGGCCTGGCAGGTGCCAGTGACCCCCTCCCCGGCTCCCATTGGGGCCTGGCCTACCTGCAGGCTGTACTGCTGCTTGATGTGCTTGTAGTGAGCCACACTGAAGCACAGCGAGTCCCTCGTGCTCTCGATCAGCATCAGAGAGGAGCACTGCGGGGAGGCACCATCAGCCCCACACGTGACCACCCCACAGCTGCCCCCTCCACCCTTGCACCGAGACCTCCCCATGCCTGGCAGCACCAGCAGGACTCAGGGACGGGCTCATGATCCCCACAGGCAGCCGCAGTCGGACGCAAGGCTACAGTAGGTGCCAGGTCCCAGCCTCTGCAGCCCCGTGGGTCCCATCAGCGTGCAGCACCCACCGGGATGTGGTTCTTGTAGATGTAGTGATCCCCGCGCCGCTTGGTGATGAGCAGAGCCTTGTCAAAGAGGAAGAAGGCCCGCTCATTGCGAACCCGGTGCACCCGGAAGGTGCCCTCCATCACCAGCTCCCCGTAGGTAGTCAGGTCTGGCCCTTTCCAGTTCAGTAGCAGCGACTGGATCTCCTAGAGGACCCCAAGCGATGAACCCACTGGCGATCCGCAGGCAGAGCCCCCCGCAGGGACCTTAGGGTGCCCCGACGTGCACCTGCTGGCGGATGGCGTGTTCGTGCTTGCGCTTCATGTCGTTGATGTACCAGGCTACACAGGTCATGGTGTCGATGGCCTCCACCACCACCTCGTAGTCGTCCCCTGACTTGTGTTCGAAGTGCTTAGCGATCTCCTGCATGAAGGAGGTGCTGATGGCCGTGCCCAATGCCGGGATAATGCAGGGGAAACATATGGTGCCCGAAACGCGCTGGCGAATACAGTGTGCCCCAATTGCACCAGGTGCTCCAATGGTGAGGAGCACAACATGGGGGAATGTGTCGTGCCAAGCACCCAAGCCACCCGGGGAACATGGCACCCCACGGTCACAGCCGCACTGCGGGCTCAGACTGTGCCGAGGGGATTTGCTCGGCCCTTAGCAGGTGCCCACGCTGCCAGGAGCGCCCGTGTCACCCCACGTGCCCACTGACCTGGAGCAGCAGGTGGTATTTGAGGATCCTCTGGACGGGCTTGAGCAGGTAGGCGCCGAGGGGCAATGCGTGCCGCATCTGCTCCTGGCACTCTCGGAAGAACYTGGCCTGCTGCTTGTTCCTCATGCACTCGGTCAGAGCCGCCACCGAACTGCCGGGGGACAGACGGACATGTGCTCAGCCTCGGCCCAGCCAAGGACACCGGGCCTGGAGCCGGTGCCAGCCCTGCCCGCTCACGTGCCCACGCACACTCACTTGGGGTAGTTGTTGCAGTACTGGGTGTAAATATCAAACTCCTGGCTCTGCGGAAATGGGGAGAGCGAGGTGAGAGCCTGGCCCTGCCCACAGGGCCGCCCCGCTCACCCTGCCTGCCAGGTGCCCACGCTGCAAGCCCGGGGGATGCCTACAGCTTACCCGCGTCACGAAGCAGACGGCCACAGCGACGGGGTCGTGGTCGCAGCTATCCAGGCTTTGCAGCAGGTTGCTGTCAGAGAGAGCAGGGTGTTAACAGAGTGAAGAGTGTAGCAGTGCCAGGTGCCGCGGCACRGCATGCCCCTTGCCCAGCGCCAAGGAGCCACCCCGTGGTGCTTCGCTGCAGGAGCTCCCGTGTCAAGGTCACAGTCGAGTGGCGGCACTGGCCACCATGGCACACACAGGCCCCAGGGGCTGTTCACCTGCTCAGCTCGTAGATGTCCTCAATGTTCCCGAAGAGCGCGCTGACCTGCTCCGGCCGCAGCAACGGCTCCTCCGCGTCAATGATCTTGCCCAGGTAGCCCTGCCGAGCACCCATGGTGGCAGGTGACCCCCATGGGAGCTCCCCGCGCCACCCTACCCGCTGCAGCCGCTCAGAGGCCCCGCGGGCGCTGCGTGCCAGGCTCCGGCCGAGCCGCTCACCTCCACGATGCTGCGCAGATCCCGTGTGTACGTGCGCTCCGACTCCACGATCTCCAGCACCACGCGCTCCACGTAGCTGGGCTCGGGGCTGGCGGTTCGGGCCGCAAAGGGCGAGAAGGGACGTGCCCCACGGGGTCCCGGCCAGCCCACCGGTGATGCATTGTTGTTGCTATTGTGCAGCCCACTGCCCCACAGCTCGGTGCCATTCCCAGGCAGCTCCTCGCCCACTCCCTCCATGGCACAGCTCCTGTCCAGCAAGGGACTCAGAGTGGGGCGCTGCAGGCAGGCAGGCACTGGCATGCCGGCATCTCCGGGCACCAGTGGGGCCCGGGACGAGTCTGCAGGGAGAGGCTGTGAGGTCAATGAGATACAGAGCCCGGCACGGCTCTCAGTCATGGGCAGATGTTTGGGGGATGAAGAGGATCCGCGMATCCCCAGGTGGCCCAGGCAAGGCAAGCAGTCCCCAGGGTTGACGTGATAGGTGGATACCCCTCCTGAGGACCATCACCCTTAGGGCTGACCTCTTGGGCACACACATGACCATCCAATGCTCCCGCTTGACCTCACAACAGGAGTCCCCACATCTTTACAGGGTTGACCTGATAGCCAGAGACACAATCCAGACACCCCAGGCCCTATAGGTTGACCTGATGGGCACACACCACTCAGCCCCCTGCCATGGGACCCTGCAGCAAGCTGGGCTCCAAGTTCGCCACCCCAGACACAGGGACATGGCCCTGCAGACCACTCGGCCCATCAGGTCCCTCACGCCCAGCCACAAGGCTGCACCACCAGCAAAGAGATCTCAGTTGCCCATGGAGCACCGGCGGCTGCCCACACTGCCCCAGGGTGCTACGGGGCCTGACAACACGAGGCCTCCCCGCTTTGCCCCCCCATGCCCACCCTGGACATGTGGGGCTGCCTCCCTCTTACTCCAGAGSCAGGAGTGGAGCCCGAAGGAACATGAGGCTGGAGGGCACAGGTGCCGCCAGGAAGAGCCCTCCGCCTCACGTCACCTCGCGCCTCCACCTGGCGGCACCCCCTGTGCCCACGCCCTGCGTCACCGCCGCACCCTGGGCCACCTTCTCGCTCGCTCTGTGACGGCCCAGCTGGCGCTTCCGGCTGCACCGCGCCGGGCAGGGCACCCGGCTGGAGCCCAGAGCTGCCCACTGCCCGTTACATCCCGTCCCATCCCGCGGGGCACTCCAGGTGCTGCAAGTGCCCCTGGGGCCGGAGTCCTGTGCAGCCCAGGATGGCGGCACACGGAGCGCGGGAGCAAGCAAGGATTTGCCGCGACGCTTTCCGGGAACGGGGCCATACGGAGGGGCGGCCACAGCCGTCYGCGCTTCCGGAGCGGGAGCCGGAGTGGCCGGCAGCGGGGGCTCCCACGGCAGTGCTCGCACCCGGTCCCGCCAAGGGGGCGTCGAGCCCGTGTTCCTCTCCAGCCCCGAGGGCACAGAGCRGCCGACCGGTCGGGCCGGTTCCCGACGGCTCCTCCCCGGCGCGGGCCCGCCGGGAAAACAGCGCCGGGGGCAGGAGACGGCGGCCGCGCGCGCCCGGCCCCGTTGGGACGCGCCGGGGGGGGGGGCTGGCGGCTCCCGGGCGGCCTAATCCGCTCAACGCGCCGGCCCGGGGATTAGGGAGCCGGGCCCACGTCACAAGCTGGGGGCCGCCCCCCCGTGCGCCCTGCAGCCCCCACGGAGGGGCCGTTATCCTCTTACCCCCAGCAGCAGTAGCGCAGCGGCGAGGCCGCGGCCTCCGCACCGCTCCCTCGGGTACGGGATCAGCCCCGTCCTCAACCCCGCCACGACGAGCCCCAAGGTGGCGGGCGCGGGGCCGGCGGGGGGGCGGGTCGGGCCCGTCGCAGCCCCCGGCCGAGGGACAGTCGCCGGAGCCATATATGGGAAGGCGCTTTACCGTTTCCAGGCGTTTTGGATGCCAGCGGCAGGGAGGGGACCGCCAGTGGCAGCGGCCACAGCGCCCKCGGGGCTCGCCAGGACGCGAGGTCCCCGGCACCGCGGGTCGCGGCCGGCACCACGACGGGCCCCAGGGCTGCACGGGGACAGGCGGGACATGCGTTGCCCACGGACAGAGCCGCGCGTGGGGGGCGGCGGGGGGTCCGTCCCTGCAGCCGCGCGGGGGGCACCACGGGCAGCGCCGTCGCGGCACAGGTGGCGGCTGCCCCGCGTGCGACACAAGGACGGGAGGACGGAGCGACCCGCGGTGCGGGGGCTGCCAAAGCCTCTTAGCGCCCGGAGCCGGGGGGGGACAGATCGGGGTCCCGGTGCCGCCCTTCGACCGCTCCCTCGCGGGCCGCCGCATCGCCCGGCCCTGCGTGGGTATGAGGGGGCGGCGCCGCCCATCGAGGGGGCGCGTCGATCGCTGCACCCCCCCCGCCCGCACCCCGGGCCGGGTTTGCACACCCCCGTGCCCCCAAAAGCAGCCCCGGCGCCGCGAGCCCCTCAGCTCTGGCCCGCGCCGGTGGGACCCGCCAGGCGACGCGGGCCGCGACCCCCGG